GCGAAATCAGCTGTTTTCGCGCGCCGCAGCCGCTCGGGGTCTCCCCTCCTCCGGGTTTGAGAGCCTGGGAGGGAGGGCGAGCAGCGGCGCGCGAGCGGCAGCAGCGGAGGTGAGTTAGGGCGGCCGGGGCACATTTTTAGGGGTGGCATGGCCCGCGCCAGAATGCCGCCCCTAAAAATGTGCCGCCCCAAGCACCAGCTTGTTTTGCTGGTGCCTAGAGCCGGCCCTGCTCATCCCGAAGTGAGAGTGTGTGAAGGAGCAATTTCTATTAGAAGAGATGGACAATGCATCTGTGGATTGCTTTCAGTTGTTCCCCCTTTTTCTTTTCTTGCAAATGCTTTGGGAAAGGACAACCCCTCCATTTGAACACTAAATACCATCTACAACTCTGTAGGCGTCCCTGGTGTTGTTATCCAGGGTTTTCAGAACCCAAAGCAGCGGTAACTTAATTGTGTCTCTCCAGGCAGTATCAGGAATAAATGAATGGGGACACAGCTCCACTGTCTGATAAATGATTAATACAAACAAGAGAGCTTTTACCTAAAACTACTCTTAGGTCTCAAATACGCACACACATATACTGTAGCAGTAGGTTGAGAGCATCCCAAACATTTATATTTACCAAAGTCCGAGATGGTTTTGAAGACTCAGCAGCTAGCCTTCCGCAGCCCTCGTTCCATCCAGCTGCTGGGGAGTTTAGAGAGTCAGATCCTTGCCCAAAGAAAAACTTCCTAGGACTGCTCCAAATAAATCATTGTTCCTGATCTTTTATAGCTAACTTAAAAGTGGGTCACCACAGTAACCCCTGGTGGGTAGCCAATTCTGCTAATTTCAGCAAACTACTCATTGTCTCTTATTAAAACATTTCTAATCATAATAAAATGTATATGTCAGAGGCATGTAAAACTAAGGTTGGCTGTCCCAAACATTCCTTCTATTTTATGGCAGATTAACTCCCTGTCCTATCCTCCAATTCTGATGACCAGAACTGCAAACCTGCAGCTGCACGGCCTTGCATCTCAGGGCCTAAGATTACTCCTAGCTATGTGGTGTTTTGTTTTCAGCTATCAGTGGCTGAACACACAAGATGGCTGACTGCAGTGTTTTACATTCTAGGTTTGCACTCAGGAATGTCAAATTCTGTGAGTACAGTGTCTTTGTTTATTTTTCTACCTCATTCATTATCAGCTATGAGGTTAAAGAAAGATATTTGTCCTTTGCACCGACCTATGAATTACACTTGAGTATTTGTCAGGCCCTCTCTAGCACTGGTTCATGCATTTTGGAGTGAAGTATCAACCTGTATGTAAATCTAGGGCATGGTGATTTGCATGGCAATTTGAATGTACAAGCTCACTTGAGTTTCTTTATGCAAATCAATGGACAGGAAGATTGATGCAATTTGCATAATCTGAATTGTGCTTTGGCTGCCAAGATATAAAAGAGCAAACATTAATATTTGCTTCACTGTTCTAGATGCTCATTAGTGCAACATAGCTGTTGCTTTCTGCCAAAAACACTCATCTTTTCTGAAGAACAAAGGCAACACGTGTAAGTCATAGTAAGGGCGGGAAGGAGAGAATGTTGGGGTGAATTCCTCAGCTGAGATTGGCATTCAAATCAAATGTTCAGAGAGTCTCTGTTGCATCACTTTGGTGATCACAATGAATAATTAGTTAGTCTTTCATCCTTTGATTCAAGGAGATGAACTGCAACATCTTGGTGCTGCTGGGCTCAGATCCAAAGATCCCCTTTAATTCACCCCAGATAAGAATCTCTCAGCCCTAACCCAGCTCAGTATTGAGCCTGGATCTGCCCTTACTCTGCCACTGATGATTATTCCCAGTAGAGGCCTAGGTACTACAGTTGTGAGGGCATTACAAATGCCTAAAATTGATAGTTGTTAGACACTCTGCAAACTTTACCCTGTACAGACTGCAGAGGAGACACAATCCAGGCTCCAGAGGCAGCAAGGCAGAAAGCACAAAGGTGAACAAGGAAGAAATGTGGAGTGAAGTAGGGCTATAAATCAGCTCTCATCCAAGAATCTGAAACCGTTTTACAAACAAGTCCCAATGAAGCATCACAATACTGCAGCAATACATTTTACAGGTAGGTAAACTGAGGCACGGGGAAGTTAATAGATTTATGTAAAATCGCTGGGTGAGATAGTGGCAATGCAGGGAAAAAATCAGGAGTTCTTGCTCTGTCACCTGCTTTAATCACTAGATCATAGTGTCCTGCCCTCCAAATAGTTGTTTTTTTGTGTTTTCATAATTTACAGAATACGTTTCATGATGAATTAACAATAGCTCTGATTTTTCTGAAACCAATCAGACTTTAGCATGTGGTCTGGGTCCTTTGGCACGATGAGCAGAATCTTTCTCCATTGGTCTTCAAAGCCCTACTGCTGAATTAGCAATGTGAAGAATTTGACAGTGTAAAAGTAAGAGGACCTGAGTTTCTTAAACAGCCTGCCTGCAGATGCCACTATTAAATGTGTAAATTAGAAAACTGTGAATGCACATGGCCAGGTGTGTGTGTGTGTGTGTATGCACAGTTACCTAATTAGTATACAGAATCCATGTAACTGTATGTACAAATCTGGTACTCATTTGCATGTGGGCAGTTTAGAAAGCAAAACACTTAAACTTTTGATTTAAATATTCACCCTGAAATTTCCTCTCCTGGCTGTAAAATCAGGAGCAATTTACAATGTCTGACAACGGGCTGCTCCTGTGTTGGTGAGCTGTGTGTTAATACTGCCACTTTTCTGCAAGATGCCTGCTGCTGTCAGTAGGGGCAGAACGTGCCAGCTGTGCGTGCCAGCTTCATTTTCAAATACATGGCCTAGTTGACCTCATCTGCAGTGAGAAGTCTCATTCGGCACGTCCAGAACACTGTTCTCTGCAAAAGGTATGCAGATTGGGTCAGCAAATTAGATCAGATCAATAACAGGGTAGAGAAAGGCCAACAGGAAACCCAGGACTGCTTGGTCTTCTGTGAGCGTTAAGAGTGATTTGGAAAGGCCTTTTAAAGCCATCTGTTCCAGGGGAAAGGTCTATGGAAGAGGACCTGCATCTCTCCCTGTCACAGGCTTGTTCTCAACTTACAGTTCTATTAAAGAATGTGAGGTCTAGGGATCGTTGCAGGGTCCTGATCTGAGGAGGGGAGAGTGTTAGCAAAAGGCTAAAGAGATGCAGTGGGTCTTATGCAGGCTCAGTGGGGGAACTGAAATGTGTTGACAGTTCTTAGTTTATTCTGTTTAATTTTAATTAAAATTTGGTGTATCATTGTACAGGAATATGGATTTTACAGTACTGGCTTTCTCAAGCTTTGCTCCTGATTTGAGATCAGCCAAAGTTCCTGTTCTGAGATGCACTGGAAAAAGATAGTAAAAATATCTGAAGGAACCAAATCTTGAAGAGACAAAGCTACCAGCTTCCATTATTTACCTAGTGGCTTGCATGGTATTACGGTCCTCACTGCAGAATCATCAAGTCAATCAGCTGGAGACACATACTGGTTGTTGGGATGGCAGGGAAGAGTGAAGCTTGTGGAGCAGCAGTGCTGTGAGTATAAGAGGTACCCTTGGATCATTGTTGGTACTGTCAAAGATGAAGAGTCGGGTTTACCATCCTGCTCAAAGAGTTTCTATTTCTTGGGGTGTTTCGGGGGGAGAGAGAGTTTGTCAAGGTGGATCCAAGATACCTGGTTTGTGCAGCCCCATCACAAAGTTTTCCCTGCTTGAAAGACATTGCTTATGAAGAGCTCAGTGCTCCTGGTTGGAGAAGTGAACAGAAGGCAGAGGTGGAAATGAAGTTAAAGCAGACATAATCCCTTGTGAAACGCCAAGGAGAACCACGGTTACGATGTTTGCTGTGTGTATGTATTGCAATTAAGATCATGCTGAAATACCTATATGAAAAGAACACGGATGCCTTCAACCTTTGTTGGATGTAAGAGGCTGAAATTCCATGTCTTTTGCATAGTCTCAGTTGTTCTTTGAGATAATACTTAGCCTCGATAAAGTGATTTTAATCTTCGGAGTGCTTTCTGCAATTATTAACGAAACGATCCTCACAAGCTTACTCCTTATAATCAACATTTTATGTATGGGTAAACCGAGCTGCAGTGAGATAGAGCTAATCCCCCAAACCACCCAATGAATCAGTGGTGGAATGAGACTAGAGTTCCTAAACTCCAGTTTTGTATTCATTTAGTTAAATCACAATAGGACTCCTCCATACGAAATGAATAGTATGGTGTAACAAGTCACTGCTACTGTAAGCACAGTAGGGTTGCCAGTTTTGGCTGGATGAATTCCTGGAGGTTTCATCACATAATATAATCTTTAATTAAAGATTAATCCTTAATTCATGGAGGCTCCAGGATAATCCTGGAGGGTTGACAACCCTAAAGCACAGCTTAGCACAGCTCTTACAGGTCTCAGCCCTTTAAAGCTGGGAATTCTGGGGGAGAGAAATCTGAAAGGGATGTAGCTCACAGCTGCTGTTCCAACAGCAGCTCATCAGAAAGAGACAGGTGTATTATGATGTGCCATCTGAGAGGAAGAGCCCAGTATTCGGCATATTGGACGGCTTAAAATAATAGCATCCATAGGACAGAATCGGCGAAGCAGTGCCTGTGACTTACTCTGAAAGACGCCATCAACAGGAGATCACGGTGTATTTTTCATCTGCTTTTCCAATAGACTGGTTCATCGCAATTATCTAAAGGAGGCAGTGAGTAGGAGTATTACTCCAGGTAAACCAGCATAGATGATGGCTGAGCTCAAGGCCACATTTGTTCGTCTGCTTCAGTGCTGACCACTTGCAATGTGTACATTTTACTTTTGTTTTTATACTTCTCAGGGTGTGAGGCGATCCAGGTATGAAGGAAGCCATGTGCAACTGCTCTTTGATCCTCTGCAGGATCTCACAGCTCCTTCCTACTGGGAGTGCCTTTCTAATGCTTCCACATTAATATGGTTCATCAGTTCCTCCTCTTTCACAACTGAAGGGATTCAATTAAAACTCTTAACTATGGAGGGGTTGGTTCCAATAATAATATAGGGTGGGGTGTGTCTTCATTGGCTTAATTAACCTCAGGTTTTTGTCTACACTACATCATTTATGGTAGCCCTTCTGGTGAAGATGCTCTAAGCCAATGGGAGAGAGCTCTCCTGTTGGCTTAATAACTCTTGTCTCCACGAGAGGCAGTAGCTATGTCAGTAGGAGAAGCTCTCCATAAGAACGGCCATACTGGGTCACACCAATGGTCTATCTAGTCCAGTATCCTGTCTTCTAACAGTGGCCAATGCCTGTGCCCTAGAGGGAATGAACAGAACAGGTAATCATCAAGTGATCTATCCCCTGTCGTTCACTCCCAGCTTCTGGCAAACAGAGGCTAGGGACATCCTGGTTAATAGCCATTGATGGACCTATCCTCTATGAACTTATCTAGTTCTTTTCTGAACCCTGTTATAGTCTTGGCCTCCCACCAACATAGTGCTGTCTACACTGGTGCTTAGGTCAGTATAATTTACATTGCTCAGGGGTGTGAATTATTCACACCCTTGAACAATGTAAATTATACAGAAGCAATCTGTAGTGTAGACATAGCCTCAATCAGCTTGTTAAAGGAGAAAGAGTTCAGGAACCTTCCAATCCACCTCTTGGGCAGGAAAGGACTAAGTCTTTTGTTTGTTTTTCAATAGGATCTCCGTGAAATTCACCCCTTCTGACAGGAAATTCCCTGCAGACGTGTGGAATTTGAAGTTTCCAGAATTGATAATGATGAATCAGGGCCAAGTTTTTCCCTAGCAGGGGCTTGATTCTCCTGCAGGTTATGAGTATTTCTCATCAAACTGCAAGGGAATGACCCCTATCGTGTGGGGAGACCATCACGATTCTTGTGCAAGTCACACAGTTATATGTGCCCTTATCGGTATGTCTTCACTAGGAAAAAGGTGTGTTCTCAACTCCAATTATTTAACATGAAGTAAAATCCGAGTGAAGACAAGGCAGTTTATAGTTTTCACATGTCATGGTAGCAGGTCATAGTAAACTGTAAGTTCCCTCATAGTCTTTAACTTCATCTGCTAACTCCTGTGAAAAACTACAAACTGCCTGTCTTCACTCGGATTTTACCTTTTGTTCCTTAACTCTACTTAAGAACACACCTATTTTCCTTGTGAAGACAGGGCCTATGTGGTCTAGTGGAAGTGCTAAGCTAGTGTGAATGGAGGAGTAGCTGATTTATGTCTTGTTTGGTGCTGGGTTTCTGTGCAATCCTGAACTACAGCAATAATTGCACATTTCTCAGGCTAGGTCTACACTACCCGCCTGAATCGGCGGGTAGAAATTGATCTCTCAGGGATCGAATTATCGCGTCTCATCAGGACATGACAATCGATCCCCGAATCAACGCTCTTACTCCACCAGCGGAGGTGGGAGTAAGCGCCGTCGATGGGGAGCCGCGGAGGTAGATTTTCCGCCGTCCTCACATCAGGGTAAGTCGGCTCTGATAGGTCGAATTCGGCTACGCTATTCGCGTAGCTGAATTTGCGTATATTAAATCGACCCCCCCCCCCCGTAGTGAAGACCTGCCCTCATTCAAATGTAGTTCCTCCAACAGGAATATTCATTTTTCACTGTGCCCTTCTCTTCCCCTCTCTGGGAGTCTGAGAGAAACTACAAGCTGCTATAGAAAACAACCTGTCTATGATGGGGGGTGGTGTGTGTGTGTGTATATATATATATATAGAGAGAGAGAGACATCAGAGTTGAAGTAAGACAGGGCAGATTTGTCTGAAATAAGATCTAACAGGGGCAGTTCTTATAGAATAATAAAGTAGCTAGCACGGGACCTGACATTTCTAAGGAATTGCTCAGTTATTCCAAAGTAGAAATGGAGTTGAACTATTTTGTATGAGCTCAGATGAAATACAGAAGCTAGGTGCAAAGCAAGAGTCTAGCCAAAATGAATACAGATGTGCATTAAAAAATCTTGATACTTTTGGTTAAGCACCAGCTAAGGACATTTTGTATTGCTCCTGTATTTCCAAATTCCATAGAGGCTGGCTGATTCTAATAAGGTGCAACCGTAAAGAGCAAAAGCCTTGAACACAAGATTATTACAGTCTTGCTTTAGACCACTCAGTGTAAACCCTTAGAGGTCTTAATAGCTAACATTGGGTCAAGAAAGTAGCTTATCTGAGGCTTATCTGAAATTTAAGACAAAACATAATTGCGTAATGGAAAAACACATTGCTTTGGACATTTCCATGTATTTTGCAATATATTTTCTTAGGTGCCTGGGTCTCCTGGAATGTGATCAGAAGTTACCATGATTTATGTTTTCACTCCCCCACGCTGCCTTGAACAGTTTGGGATATAATCCTTCAAGCTCTTTTCCTGTAGATTCTGTTTAACTGAGGTGCAAGGGACATGGTTTCAGAGAAAACCAGGAGAAATATATTTTATTTAAATGAAGACACAGGCCTAGCATACAACATAGAAATCATCCATTGTCTCCCTAGTCCAAACACCAACTGCTTAGTCACGGGGGGAGGGGGAGAGAAGGGAATTTGTCCCAGAGCTCCAGTTTAATGGGATCGGCAGTTCTGATTAAATGCATTATTTTCAAAGAGGAAACAAGCAAAGAAGATGTAAAGTTCATGGTAAAGAACAGGAAGACTGCCTCTAAATATTTTTTTTCTCACACTGGATTCTAAATCTCATAAATATAACACTTATTCCAGATCAAACTTTCAGATACTCCTATTTCCCAAGGCCCTGAAATGTGTTATTTTCAGTAAGATGATTAATAACAAATGGCCTTTGTCAGTGAAATGCTGATGGTAATTTGTAAATGGAAGGAATCTAAGTGCAGTGTTTTTGCTTTTTAAATTGGGTCACTCCAGCTGAAGCAGTCCAATCCAGTGTAAAATACGTACGTATCATCTTCCCTGAAATATTATATTTACTCAGAAGTTTGTGGTGACCACATTACTGTTAAGTGGTAAAGTGAAAATGAGCCAGGGATAAAATGCGTTCTGCCCAGATAAGCAGGGATAAATCTAACATTTAATTGAAGCAGATGCTGCAGTGTGTTTGGTTTATAATGGACCACCCCAGTTTTCAGACAATATGGACTCTGGAGGTAATTTTTATTGATTTTTTTAAAGTGTTTTTTGTTTTCATCTCTTCAATGAGTAGTTCCTTACTAATGACAGTATTACTTTCTCAGGAGAAATAGCTCAGGTAAAAGTGACATAAATACAGATGAGTTATGATTTGTCCTTCCATTTGCAGTGAGGATAAAACTAGGAGAAAACATACACACACACACACACACACACACACACACACACACACACACACACACACACACACACTCTCTCTCTCTCTCTCG